AACTTAAACCTCCCCCACGGCTGAAAGGGCGAGCATGTTTGGTGTGACGGGGATTCAAACCCGCGACCCGCAGATTGCGAGTCGAGTACCCTAACCACCTGGCCATCCCGGGCTATAAAAGGAGGTTAAGGTACGTACATGGAAAAGAAATTACCTCATTTTCACGGGATTAAAATCCCATAATAGATTCAAAGGCGCCAAAACCGGTGGGGTAGATGGGTCATTTGCCCTAATAATAATTTGGTCGCTAAAGTTTTCTCTAAAAACTCTTTTGAATGATTTTACTGTTGAACAATGTTTTGCACCATTAATATTACGGACAGTTAAGTATTGTCACTGTTAGATTAGTCTTAAACGAAGCGATGGCGCTGCAGTAGTAAATGCTAATTTGTATTTTGTATGGGCTCATTGTAGGTGAAATATTACATATACGACTATGAACTTAGTAGATTTAAAATCTATAAAAAAGTGGAATATACGTATAATATATATATATTATAAGTACATAACGCAAAGCGCATCCTTACCTTGATAAATTTTCATTGGCCGACAACAATTTGCTACAAACACTTGTAACTTTGTATCATGCCATAGTTTATTTTCTCAGTATGTCTATTGCCAGTTGTATCCATTTTGCACCCAACATTCTTGGCGCTCTTCTCGATAACGTTTTCTCTCAGACAAAACAACGATAGATCAATAAAATGGAAACGAACTAGAGCGGCCACCTGGTGACTACTTGTCCCGGATAATCTAAAGTTCGTTATACTGCACATCATGAGAATAACTTACAATTAGATAAAATGTTGCCAGACTGTATCTTTGCTGAAGTTACTATTTATTTGTTTTGTTTGTGTTAGAACAAAGCCACGTTGGGGTATCTGTTGTGACCCCCGCGGGAAATCGAACCCCGGATTCTAGTTTCGTAAGTCTGAGAGACCTGAAGTTCATCCCGCCAGATAATAAATGAAAAGTTCACACACAAAAAAACGAAAAATAACGCTTTGTGCATTATTTAACTTCAGTGTAACGGTCTAATCTTCAGGAAATGTTAACTAAATATGGCAACATTTTGATCTTGCATGGAAACATATCAACCACATCAAAATGTTCTTGAATTGTTTACGAAACTATTATCATTTTTTTTCTTCTGAATATAAGTGCACTAATTATATAGTCCACGGACTAACAAAGATTTTTGTGGTGTCTAATTGTTGAATTATCTTCGGAGAAGCTTTTATACATTGTTTGTAGATTGCTAAATATCTCATGGTCGTTGCTGTGCTTTTGAACACTCTGTAGCCACTTAGGTTTTCACCCTCAAACCACTTGTAGAATTAATTTTGGTTTACTTTTCCCATCATCGATTAATGAAGAGTGTCAAATAATTGTCCACAAAACAATAGTTCCTCAGACATGCATAGGCGTATTGCAGAAGTGAGATAATCTAAAAGTCATGTTTTGTAGTTCTCAAGAGTTATTTGTACGGAGCCAATGTTCTTCGCATACGTCTGAGTTTTTGCGAACGTAAAATGTTGAAATATTACATAAAACGTCAGCTAACTTCACCTAAATAACATATTTTAGAACTGCTTTGTTTTTCTTTTTCAGACGTCAACTAAACGAAATATTTCGTAGCTTCTTTTGTATTTTGTAATTCTCACTTCTGGTAGAGGGCGTCGAAACATGTACTTGTGGAGTGCTATTAAAGTGGAAACCATTGACGGCTTCTATAAAGTCTTTAAAATTGTGTAAACATAAAACATTGATTTTTTAAAATTATTTATTAAATTTCAAATAATGCACAAATGCCGATCATTCGCATTTAGTTCTTGATCATTTCTAAATACGGGTTTTGAGTTTCCAAAACACACATTTCAGGAACGTTTAGAACCAGTGTTTCAGAATTTTAGAATAAGCACTTTTGAGTATGTGAGTGTGTTTTATAGCAAAGTCACATCGGGCTATCTGCTGTACCCACTGAGGGGAATCGAGCCCGTGATCTTAGTGTTGTAAATCCGTAGACTTACCGCTGTCCCACTAAAATTATGTAAATAACAATACAATGTAATGCCACATAACATGGGCAAAGTGTATGTTATTGTGTCTTCTAAATAACTCCTGAAGACGACCACATTACATGGGAAAAAAAGTATAAGTTATTTTGTCTTGTAAATAATTCCCAAAGATGACGTGGAGGATGTCGAATCAATGTACACGTAGAGTGTGCTTTTGAAGTGAAAGTCGTTGACGGCTTCAATAAAGTTTTTAAAATTGTGTAAATATAAAACGTTGATTTTAAGTAGTTGTTAAATTATAATCAAGAACTGTTCATTCTGAACGTTTCAGATAATAGTTGTTCTGTATGAAACATTCATATAGTGGCATTTTCAGGATTTTTTTATTTGAGGGCAGAATGGTCTGATGCTGTTTCAAACTGTCATTAAACCCTTTTTTTAGGCCTCATATGATTGGAGATAATTCTTTCGATTCAATTTACATAGTTTGACTACCCCACTTATCCATAAAGTTACCATTTCCATGTCATTGGGTGTCACAATGTCGGAAGAATTTGAACGGGGTAGAGCTCTCCAATGTGAGTCTGCCCTCCCCCCCACGCCACCCCGGTGGACACGCCCTTGCATTCAGAAATATTTGTTCTGAAACATTCTGTCATGCATGTTCTGAAAAACTTATTACACATTCTGAAATACAGAGGGTTGAGTACATTATCTTGAAACAACTTTGAATATTCAAATTAGCATGTCACGTGACAACCATAGGAATATGGATCAATTTGGAGCACCAGGAACATCCAGAAAGAGATCTGCAACAAGTCGCACTCCAACTGGATAAGAAAAGAGTGCCGTCTCTTAACAGGTGAGAATCTACGAACAAAAAGGTCATTGACAAAAGCCCTCCACGTGTCCCAGGCAAGAGTAGGTAACATAATAAAGAATGATCTCTATCTTTAAAGCGACACAAGTCACGTGTACATAAACTGCTTTTACGACATATCAATTTAACCACTGCATTTACTTCGAGAAGCTGGAAAATTAAACAGATATTCACGCTATTCCATACGAAGACATAATGTTGAAGTAATGCCAATGGATATTTGTGCAATATCGGACTGTTAAAGAGGGCGCTAGAAAAACTGTCAATCTT